CCACTTATTCTTACATTACCTGTATAAGTTCTTTGATAAAGCTTTCTGAGTTTCACGTATAGTAGAAGGTAGTGGTATTTCCTTTCCGCTATCTATGACAGCTTTACTATTGGACAGTTTATCCCCAGCAATAGTTACAGGTACCATCCTACCATCACCCATTATAGTAACCTACACACAAACAATAACTCCATTATTAATATACTAAACATACATCATCACTGAATGTAACTATTGATACTCTTTTATTAGGCTCAGAGTGGACCAGCTTTGATAAATGAGTATCTACAGCTGCTTGAAGACTCTCCATTCTTGATATGTATGTCACATTCTGCTGCCTTGCTTGCATGTGTCGATACTCTGGTTGGCGCAATTCTGCAAGGACTTCAGCTGGAAAACTGTTCATCATTTTGTCTCGTTTCTCTTTAGCTCCGCGAATATCATATTGACCAGACACCTACAATATGTACAGCAGAAACATTTTTCTAGTAGTCATCCAAGCATGCATACCATACCTTAGTAGTAACACACATACTGCCAGAAGTATCAATACAGAATACAACTAGTGATTCATCCATTGCTATAGGAGCTCCTCCTTCAGCAGCCATTATAGAAGCAGGAGTAATGAGGTAAGTTGTATCCTCTTCTGTTGGTATCTCTTCATTTACAATATCAAGCTCAGTTGCTGTACCACAATACTCACAATTCCATACCTAGAAGAGACAGAGAGATAAGGTTCACTATAATATAATGGACTGACCCTCTTTTCAGCATCTTCTTCTCCAATCAGTTTAGTCAAGTGACTAACAACAGCTCCACAGTTAGGATTAGAACAAAATTGTGCATCTCCTGTGTGTATGTGCCCTGCCTCTTGAAGAGTATTGAACTTGACAGCTAGTACATTAGTATCAGCACGACGAGTCTTAAAACCTTGAGAAGCGTTATTACGTCCTAAAGAGGGAGGGAGGGAGGGAGAGGGTAGGAGAAAGGGTGGTGTATCTTACTGCCTCTATAGCTTTTGTCCCAGCGAACTCTTTGCCTTTTTTGCTTCCTCAATTCCTCTTTCTTCATTATCCCGTGCAGCTGCTTTATTGGTGGAGGAGCTGGAATGAAGACATGCACACAGTTATGAAGTGTAAATCCAGCTCTCTCTTTCTCTCTCTATCTCTTTCATTACCAGGTACACTGTATGAAGATGCTTTAGGAGTTGGCTCAGGGGGAGGAGGTGGAGGTGGTATAGTTGCACTAGTGCTTTGAGGTGCAATCCTCCTGTTGTCAATTAATAAAAATAAAATGAAACAAAAACAATAATGATAATAATATTATTAGATTATAATAGTTACTTAGTTACAGTAATTTTAATCAACTCACATTGGCTCTTTTGCTGCCTGATCTCTTATTTCTTGCTCCATTTCTCTTATTTGAACGTATTTTCCAGATGAGTACTCTCCCTTGTTTTCACCACCTCTCTCAATCTGTTCCTCCTCCTCCTGCCCTTGCTGGTTAGGAAATGTTAAATCAGCATAAGCCGATTGACGAGGTATCCTGCAAAGAAAGAAGAGGAGAATAAGCAATGAACAAGAGTTAAGGAGTTGCATTTACATTTGCTCGCCTTCTTCTTCATCATCATCATCTTCAGTTTCATCATCAGTGTCTTCACCAGATCCATCACTAAATGAAGGGAGGGGCTTGTAAATCATGGTACAAGGGCTTGTATGTTTGCATACTCTAAAGTTGGAGCTAGCCTTGGTGGTTTAGCTGTTAGGTTCCTTCTGAATTGTGGCTGTGGAACAGGAGGGATAACAGCTAGAGGAGGAGAGCTAACGTCATCATCATCACTGTTGTCACTGAGACTGAGGTACATTCCCTCCTCTAGCTCAGTTTCTGAAAGCATCTCATCCTCAGAGCTCCCGTGTAGACATAAGCACTGCCCCACTCCATAATCTGTCTCTGTTTCCAATGACTAAGTTGCTACAGTAATCCTCT